CTCTAGCTGACGTGATGGTGTTTACTACTGCTGGAGGTAGCCCACCTAGAACCTCCACATCCCGTCCAGGGACCACAAGTGGAGATTCCACAAGTCTGGATGTGGGTGCCAAAGGGTGCCCCCTCTCTGCGAAAAGGAGATCCCTCCTCAGAGGAATTTGCCAAGGAGGGGCTGTCGCGAGGATCATTAGTTCAGGGAACCAAGTCCGACTGGGCCAGTATGGCGCTACCAAGAGGACCTGCTCCTTGTCCTCCCTGACCTTGCACAGTGTCTGTGCGAGAAGGCTCACTGGGGGAAACGCGTATTTGAGTAGGCCCCGAGGCCATTCTCCCGGAAGGGCGGGCTGACGTGAGAGCTCGTCGGCTGCACGATTGAGCTCGCCTGGGACATGAACGGCATGAAGCGACCTCAGACGCTTCTGACTCCAGAGGAGGAGATGGCGGGCGAGATGTGACGTGACGGGAGCGTAGACCACCGTGGTGGTTGATGTACGCAACGGTCGCAGTGTTGTCCGTATGGACCAGTACATGCTTGTCGTGCAGCAGCGATTTGAAGTGGCGCGGAGCGAGCCATACTGCTTGCAACTCGAGGTAGTTGATATGCCACTGGAGTTGGGGCCCCGACCAGAGCCCCGCAGCTGCATTCCCATTGCACATAGCACCCCAGCCCCTGGTGAAGGCATCTGTTGACACAACAACATGCCTGGATACTTGTCCTAGGGACACGCCCGTCGGAAGAAAGGCAGGATCTGACCACGGGCTGAAGGTCTGACGGCAGAACGGGGTGTGGGGGCTGTATCGCGTCCTTCGCCAGCAGGACCGCGATCTCTGCACGCAAGACAGGAGCATCCCTGTCCAGCACAGAGGTGAACCGAATGCCCCTGAACTTGGGAGGACGTCGGGGGAACTGAATCGCGTAGCCGAGTCTGATGGTTCTCAAGAGCCAGAGAGACGGCCTGGGGAGCGCTAACCAGGCCCCCAGCGACCGAACAAGCGGGACCAGGGAAACCACCGACGCACCCGCAGTGGGGCCGGACACAGGGACCCAACCCGGGAGGCTGTGCATCCCAAGGTGGGGTCTGAGTGTGCGGCGCGCCACTTACCTGGCTCCACAGCTGGGCAGGGGGCTCGCGAGGAAGCATAGTGTCCCTGAACTGGACCCTGCTGCCCATAGGCGAAAGGAGAGGGGGACGGCCGTGTGGAGACTGGGTCTCGTGCACTGCCATCTTCGCCCTCTTGGGACCTGGAGGCCAAGGAAACTGCTCTTTTGTTGAAGTTTTGGGTACCACCGGCTGGGTAGCCAGTGGCGGAACAGAAACAAACGGGAACAAAAGATTCTCCAACCGGCCCTCCTCCGGGGGAAGGAGTGGTGCGGTCACCATCTCCTGAAGAGCAGGATCCAAGTGCTCCGGGTCGCCCGTCTCAGGGACGCCACCTGCCCTGGCGCTTCACGGGCTTGGCAGGGGTGGAGGCGGGCGCCCTCGGAGACGAGCAGACAGAGGGGCTGCAGCCGGCGGTGGGGTGGAGACAGCAGCAGACCGCCGGGGCAGG